TCGTATTACATCCATGACCGACTTGGGAAATCCGGCTTCGGAGAACTTAAATATTGGCCTCGGAACATCTTCTCCCTCAGTAGTTATTTTTGAGTCCTTGCGAAACTGTTTAATTTCAGCTGAACTGCGTTTTCGAACGCTGGACGATTCACGATAAAACTCTTTTTCAAACTTGACTAAGCGTTCATTCTTCCAGTCGACTGGTCGTAGTTTCTGACCAGGCGACTTTCTGCGACCACTGATAAAATTAAAGCAAATTAAAATGAACTACTTTCTAGGAGAGCGAGATCTTCCGCGCATTCCAATTTAGCCAGAAATAACGAAAGCAACTTGCGCGACAATGGAGGGCCAATACAACACCTCCTACTCCTTATTGGTTGGAGAATGTGAACACCAATTTTAACAACGTTTATTTCAATAAAGTCGAAGGCATATTTTAATTCCGTTCCCTGAATATTTATTCCATTAAAGCTGAGTAGATGGGAAGTCAAGCAAGGCACTAGGTTTTATTCCTAATAGCAATGCAGAGCGATTATAGGCCGAAATTTTCGCAGCCAATTCGAGCCCGCATTTGATCACATGGAACAGATTTAAACCGGTGTTATGTTCATGTGTCATTTCCCAGTCGATTGCCCTAAGGTGCGCACGCCGATCCTTCCTAACGTATTTTTCCCTTTGTTGCTCCCCTATATCTTACTGTCCTCAATTTTTTTATTGTAGGATAAGCAAACATGTGTCTGATCGCACATATTGACGTCATATTCGAGAACTGGTCGACGAAAACCTGTGACTCGCTGGGATTTCTCAATCCTTCGAAAGCGTCAATAGATCCGATGCGACATCTCCATCGTCACGAAGACGCTTACATAGTCTGCAACCATCCGGTCCATCCTTTTCTATGTACTATATGAATGCTGGGCTTTGCGCGTTGAGTGTGAGCGAAGACTGAAGGTATTTGACCATCGCTGCTTTAGGACCATCCTGAGGAGCCAAGGTGCACTTCCATATTAGCTCCACCTATATAACCTTAATCTCAATCCTCTGATTTATAGGCAGTTACGTGGGGATTTCATACGTTTCCGTATCATGCGTGGCTTGAACTGCGCCCTCCGGTGTGACGGTATTTTCCAACTCCCTGCTACAAATAATCGGCATGGACACCGCTTCAAACTACTGGGTATCCCAAAAAAATGTATTCACATTGTACATAATTTTAAAATTGGTGTTTATCATAATTTCATTATTAAAAATGTAAAAATATTTACAAGTTTCAATAGTCAAAATGCAGTGAAAAAAACAATAAAATGACACATGGAAATATTTTTTTTCACTTTTGAAATAATAAAATTATAATAAACTTATTGAAAATGTGTATATAATTGTTTGGGGCGTCCTGTATATGTGTCCCAATGTCGATGGGACGAAAGGAAGTCCTTTTTCTCTAACTGGGGCGTGGAACTGTGTAATTACCTACCCGAGGCGATTGTTATATTCCAGTCGGTGGAGACATTTAAACATCGATTTGCTATTCACACAAAGTGAACTATGTGACTAATGTACCTTAAAACATTAATGCACGATGGACACTGTCTAGATTTATCTGACTGTAATTTATTTACATTGTTTTTAATTATTGAGATTTCGAGGTGACAAATGACGCGTTTGAAGGCACTGACCTACTCTTTCATCAAATGCACTGACTGGCAGACTCTTGAATTTCAAAGGACCGTGTTTTCTACACTGAGGTCGAGATTAAAACTCGTAAACTCCAAGGACTTAAAATTCAAAATAAATTTGAAGCGACGCCCTTTTCGGGTGATTTTACTCAAGGATCTACTCAGGAGTTGGGGCGTTTTACCTTCGCTGTCCTGGGATCTCAATGCCAGGGCCATATGGAGGTGCAGTTGGTTTGGTGCTCCCAGTTTCGAATTAAGGATTTCGCCACGAGCGTTCCGTTTTGACGACAGTGTAGCTGTGACGTATTCAAAGCCATCTCTTATTGAAAGTGCGATCCTCCCACCGCATAAATCCATTTCGATTTATGCGGATAAGCTGGAATCCGTCCAGCCTGCATTAGGCCTGTGTTATACACGCATTCAATCATGGTTTAGTAAGATATAAAAAGCCAGAATGTTAAGGATTCGCGGCCAGTTTGCTCTCAGGCATTTTTTTGAATAAACTCTTCTACTGTGCCACATTTTCTCCAAAATAGACTTAAGAAATTGCGAAAA